GATCGGACATTGTTTCATTCTGCTGTGCATGAGGTCGCTATGGGTCGGTTCCGACTCGATGGCACCTGACAACAACAACAACAACAACAAATCTTGAGAAGACAGTTCTTTCCCAATCATATTTTGAGTGCCTTCCAAACTGAGGGGCTCATCTTCCACTTCTATATTAGACAATGTTTTGCTTTTATTCATAAGGTTTTCAGAAGTCAATGCTTCAGAAGTGACTCACCTCTCCTTCCTAATCTTTCTGTAAGCTCTGCTGAAAACTATTCAGCATGGGTGACCTTGCTGTATTTGAAATACAGGTGGCATAGCTTTCAGCATCACAGAAAAACACAAGCCACCACAGTATGTCACAGGATCTGACAAACTGACAAATGAATGGTGGCTAAAGGCAATAGTGACATAAATGAGCAAAATTAAGATTGTTGTTGTTATGTGCCGTGGAATTGGTTCTGACTCATAGCGACCTTGTACAGTGTTTCCGAGGCTGTAAATCTTTACAGGAGCAGAAACCCGCATCTTTCACCCTTGGAACAGCTGATAATTTCAAACAGCTGACCTTGCGGTTCGCAGCCCGATTCGTAACCACTACGCTACCAGAGCTCCTTAAAATTAAAATAACTTAAATTTACAGTATCATAGACTTAGTCTAATTGTATATCCATTTACATAGTTTCATGTGGTTAAAGTGTTTATGGGACAGTCTTCTCCCTCTGCAGGGGATAGCAGAGCAGCTGCACTGCCTACCACCATTGGATCCGATGCCCGAGGCCACCCCAAGCTCAGGACTGACTGCAAGGCCCACTGATGAGCTTCATCTGTTCCCTCAGCCCAGAGCTCACACCTGTGCTACGGTCTTCCAGGCCAGATCCATGCCAGGATGAGGCATGGGAGCACCATGAAGTGAACAAAGGGCTGCCTCTGGGAACTGAGCTGCCCCAACCCCCAGAGGACTGGCAGAGGTAAGTATGGGCCAGGCAGAGACACACAATGGGGGCACTGGTATCACCCCACTGATGATATCACCCAGTGTGATCTGCACTTCATTCTGTGCCCCCTGTAGTGACATCACTAGCTGTGGGTTTGCGCCATCTCCTTTATCTGTTGCAGATCATTGTGATCCATAATTTCACTAGCTGATTTTTAAAAATAGATCCCCAGTCCTTTCTTCCTAATCTCTTACTCTGGTCATTACAAGGAAACTTGTCCAGCATCATCATTCACCACCAACACCACCAGTTGCTGTTAAGTCAATTCTGACTCATAGCAATCCCATGTATGTCAGGGTAGAACTATGCACCAAAGGGTTTCCAATGGCTGATTTTTTTGGAAGATCACCAGCCCTTTCTTCTGAGGTGCCTTTGGTAGGTTCAAACTTCCAACCTTTTGGTTAGTAGTCAAGTGCATTAACTGTACCACCCATTGACTCCTGTTCAGTCTCATATTAACAATGAGTTGATGGATCCTGGTAGCTGTACATGAGGTAAGTTGGCCAACAATCAAAGGTTTCCCACATAGAAGGTGAGAATTTCACTGAGAATTCTACCATTGGACCACCAAGGTCTACCACTGGACACCACTGTCCACAATGGTGTTGCTGGTGAAAGGAAGGAAGGAGGTTCCCAGGCTTGCCCACCCCGCACCAAACATACACCTATTGGAGGTAGTCCTTTAGACTCAGCTCCAGGTGACTTTACAGCTTGAAGGGTCTATAGGTTCACTGACTTTTTCCTCACCTTCTGGAACAGAAAAAGGGGCAAAGACCATACCTGCCCTGGGTGCAGCTTTTCAAAACCCAAAATCAAAGCTGTTGTCATAGAATCATTTCCATCTCAGAGTGACCCTGTAGGACTGTCCTGTATGATTTCCCAGCCTGTAATCTTTATGGGAAGTACTGGTGTGGTGCTGTGTGTGGGATAAAGCACTGGACTGCAAGGTCAGTTTGAACTACAAGGTCAGTGACTCAAACTCACCAGCTGCTCCTTGGAAACCCTATACAGGGTTGCTATGAATCAGAACCGACTCTACGGCACTTAACAACAGCAATCAATCTTTATCTGTTTTTCTACCTGGGAGCAGCTGGTGAATTTTGCCAACATTTTGGTTAGCAACCAAGCACTTAACCACAGTGCCACTGGGCTCCTTTTATACAGTTTTGGATGGAATTAAATTTTTTCAATAGAAGTGTTTCAGTGGCATCTTGAAAAATTCTACTTGTTCAGGCATTTAGGAAGTGGTTTGTCCAAGTCTGTAAGTTTCACTTAAAATTTTTGAAAGCAAAACTTTCTACAGGGAACCATTTGTTGTTGTTTAGTGCCACTGAGTCAGTTCTGACTCATAGCGACCCTGTATAGGGTTTCCAAGGAGCGGCTGGTGGGTTTGAACTGACGATCTTGTAGTTAGCAATTTAGTGCTGATCCTATAGTCCTATATCAGGGAACCCTAAGATTGATCAAGTGAGTGTCCCACACTTGCCAGGCCCTAGAATGAGAGAGAGGGAAATGGTTTGCCTTTGTACAGGTTTGACTTTGTCCTGAAAATCTCCATTTTTAAATGGTTTTAAATTGTTTACATTTCAATAATTTTTCCTTTTCTTCTTGGTCTTCAGGAGTAAATTTAGCCAACAACATTTGCAATACATTGGTAATTTCAGATGCACTTGCAGTGAACTTTGGTTTGGGGTCATTCATTCATTCTTTCTGAACACTGTACTATATTCAATGACACCGTGCAGGAGAACTGTAACCAACACTTAGTGAGGCAGCGGGCCATCAGGCAAGGTTTCAGAAGGGAGATGCTCTCTCAGACCCTGTAGGTAGATTAGGAGCCTGCATAGGAATGAGTACTTTTCTTCTCTCTCTGCCTCATTGTCTTGCTAAAGAAACTGGATGCCACTTGGCACCAGCCACAGGATCTCAAGAAGGCAATAATAGCTCATATTGTGCTAAAAATAACCTGAAACTAACCAAAAATATTTTCAATCTGCTGCTGTCCTCAAGACTAACCTGCTGCCATGAAGTCAGTTCTGATTCATAGCGACCCTATGGGTCAGCATAGAACTCCGTAGGGCTTCTTTTTTGGTGTATAGAGCTGCTATGAGACTGTAAGAGACTGTCAATCTTTATGGGAGCAGACCGCTTTTTTTTTTCTCCTGCTAATTGAAGAGGAATGGTGTTGCGTTCATCGTCAAAAAGAACATATCCAGATCAGTCATTAGGTACAATGCTATAAGTGATAGGATAATATCCATGCGCCTACAGGGAAGCCCAGTTAATACCACTATTATTCAAATTTATGCACCAACCACTAAAGCCA